GCCTTACTGTATATTGCAAAGATTGTAACTTCTCCGAAAAGCAAACATATTAAATATGAATGTCGGATTCAAAGATTTGGGTGTAAAGGGATTAGAATATGAATTGTAAATTGAAAAGCAAGGAGTTCCCTTTTGAAAAGGGCATAGAGAATTGAGAGAAGATCCCCTTTATGAATGTGTAATGTTTACTTTGAATATGTATGATCTCTGGAAACATAAAAGCGTTTTTTCTCTGTGCTCTCTTCATTTTTACTGGTCTCTCATTTTTTCTGATTATCTCGGCTGCCTTTGTAACACAAAGGCTAATACTTGACGTTAAAAAATTCATAGTCATAATGAACTATTTATACCAAATTTGAAAAAAATCGGACAATCCAAAATTTAAATATTCAAATTTTATTTTTTTTCTCAATTTTCGATTAATCCTCAAATTTTCAATACTATTGCCATTTTCACTCCCTAAAACAATGAAAATTTAGTTTGATAATCTTTAATCGAATTACGAGCTCAATTCCGAGTAGTCGAGCACTTGAATCGCACTCAAACATCCATGCAAAAAAAGTCATCATGGATAATATGCATGTATATTGGATTTCATGGCTAATCCCTTTATACAATTCATTACAATTGAGTTTTATTGTCCTCTAATTGTCCACCATGCCTCCTAGATCTAAGCCGCACGCATTTTACCCATCAATTTTCCGAAAATTTAACTTTTTTGGACCTTTAAACTGTTTTAGAGATCAATATCTACATACATGGTGTAACATCCGATAATCAGGTAAAATCCGAAGACGGCTTTGTTAAGCTGCTATTCCTCTCTGGTTCCGTTAATCAGAGTCTAATCTGAGGCATTTTCCAATTATCGCTTGTGATTAGAGTCGCACAAACGCAGCCCATTCTTAACTTTTTGAGTGGGAACTTTCTAATTTAGTCCCGAATAATCTTAAGGTGTTTTATCGTTTCCTTATGGAAGATTGCGTTGAGGGACAAATAATCCGGAAAATTTGGGCGTTTGGAGATAAAAAATGTACGTCTTGGGATCAGCTTTTATCACAGACAATACCTTTTTTGTCAAGTGTAATATGCGTAGTTTGTCTGCAAGCAGGACAACGCAATAAAAGCGATTGGTAGGAAATCTAAAAGGATTATTTACTACTGTTTTTATTGAAAAAAATTCTATACTGTAGCAGTCAGTTTAGAATCTGTGCATTTCCAGAAAATCCGTCATCATGACGCAATTATCGACTCGATCGTATTTTACAATGCCGAAAAAAATGTCGATAGATCACTGAGACCCTTGCAAAGACCTCACTGACTTTACTTTTGAGACGACAATTCAAATTAAACATGTCATCATGACGTGTTTTCTGGAAATTTGGAAACAACTTCTGTTTATTGGCCTATCTGCCATGAACAGCAGGCCATAATAATTCTGAGCAAATTATCATTACTCGTTGACTCTAAATAAAAAAAAAAAATGTGTCATTATGACGAATTTTTATAAATTTACTTTATGAATGTCAAAAAAATCAATGTTTATTTTGTTGTCTCAAATTTAAGCTCCAAGGTCTACCCAAAGCAGCTTTAATTAATTCGTATTTATGACAGTAATAAAGCATGTTTGTCTGTCGAATGACGTCTAACCAATAATCCCTCTTAAAAGTAACCACTTGTAAACACACTTAGACCCCCAAAACTTCTCGAACAAATTGGCGAAATCCGTTATTCTCCCGGTCTGCAAGATAAGGAGTTTACTGGCCCACATGTTTCCCCGCAGCAAGGTTGTTTTTGATGTCTGTAATCAGCTTATAATGTGTACGGTAGTAATCAGCTTACATTGTGAGGAAAAATATTTTTTATTGTAAATAGTAATCTATTGCGGAAAAACAAGACGTCTTTCCTGTTTGACAGGGTCTTTTGACATTCAAAATCAAAAGAATTGCAACTAAAAAATTCAAAATTTCAAATTCCCGCCAAAATTGGCATTCTGTTCTAAGGGCGGGAAATGACCAAAAATTTTTAAAATAAGACGTTACGAGCCTTTGTATCAAATACAGTCAAAATAAAAATTTCTGTTTACTGTTTGAGACGGTTTCCGATGTTATTCATGACGATTTTTGATATCAGAAATCCCTCTGAAAATTTCCCCGGTTTTTACCCAAAGCCTATTCAAAGCTATTTTAATATCCGCTAGGCACTAATCCGCAATGGTGTATACAAATTTTTTTGCCTTAAAGTCGACAAATATGGTCCTGCCACGAAAACTTTACTTTTGGATTTTCCTCAACTTTACCACCTTTTTTGAATTTTTCAGGCCTACAAATTCAAAATTACACTATTCCCTTTTCGTCCAAATTATCTCCAAACCCCCGCCAATTTCCAGACAATAAAATTGAATTATTATACATTACGCACAGCAGATTAAACCCCCGTTTATCCGGAACTGTTTAACTCTTGAGTCTGCCTCCATACCTGCTGATAAGGTCGCCTCTAATCCGAGTATTTTTTGTTGTCGTCTGGCGGTCTAATTTCGATGCAGAGAACGGGCGTTTAACGGTGGATTTGGAAGGTGAACGTCGGGCGTTCCCGAAACACTCGTATTCGATGGAAATGCACTTTGACTGAGTGGCGTACGGCATTCCAGAAGGGCTATAAGTGTCGAGGATTACTTACGTCAGTTTGATGTGTCATATTTTAAAGGGGGTTAAACATCAGACGCAAAGTCATCGTTTTTAATATAGTATGTTGTAGTAGTCGCCGTAGTATGGGAATTATGAAGGTTATGTGAGGAGGAAGTATGTATTATTTACTTGGATAGGTTTTAGATCAAATACGGTGGAACGGATAGGTCTTTATGTATTTTACACGAAGAGAAATGAAACGGAGACCATAAAATTTGTTCTTTTAGGACTTTGGTAGTTTTTGTCACGCAGTGTGAAATCTTTCAGATAGATGATGTTTTGAAAGTTGACGGTGTATATAAGGAGGGAAGCTACGGTCTTCGACTTAAGATCTGAGAGCTCTACAGTAGATTTGAGAAGGATAAAAGAGGTGTTTACAATTGATAAAGTGGTCCTTTGTTTAGATTATTACAAAAGACCTTTAATTTTCTTTGTTTTTTGCGTTTGTTATACAAAATGCTGACAAAAAATCACTCACAAACATGCGGTCAAAACCATTTCCTGTTTGGTAGACTCTCTTCATTTTGCGTACTCTCTTCCAAGAAAAACTTTGAACATCTCCTGTCCCCTGAGAATGTGCGACCTAAAATTTACTTTGATATGTACGTGATTCAAAGGGATCAATGAATATCTTTGGACTCTATGGAAAGTAATAGCAAGATTTTGATAAATTTATATTCGAACTTGGTAGGCTAGACGTGCAAAATTTTGAAAAATATAAACGTCGAGCCTCTAGAACTTCTCTTCTATAAACAAAACCTCAATACAGCCCATTTTTCTCTTACGAAATCGAGCTTTCTGTCCCTCATCTTCTGTTTCTAAAGCCTCTACTGTACGGAGAAACATATGAAAATGCACGTTTTTCTCTGTCTTATGTTCCAGATTACCATTTACATTAGCCATCTCTAGTCTTCTTTTCGCTTTATTACTACTTATTATGTATTATTACCCTTTGAAACGGCTCTAAATGCCAATTCCCATCCGAAACCCCCATCCAAACCGTCCCTCTCCACATTACCTTTCAGTTTTCTCTAATCTACCGTAACAATTCGACTCGAATTTTGTGTATTTCGTTTCGAATCCCGCTGAAATGTTAAGTAATGGGGTCTGTGAGCAATTAACTGTTTGTCTCACCTTCCGGTGCCCTCGCCTTCAGATTGTTTTAGTGTGAGAGTAAAGGTTAATCCGGCCTCGGGCGTGTCCCTATTCCCCCCAATGGAAAAAGAGGTGGGATTTAGGAGGGGGGAACGGAGGACTTACGTTTTAGTGAATATCCGCCGTGAATGCCGGTGCTGGATGCGATTTCTCAACGTGTCCGGCTTCTTCGGGGGGATTTTCTGGGCTTGGAAAACATTTTTTGGAAATTTGCAGGAGATGTGACGATTATATTCACCTTGGATGGCTGGTGAGGTTTGGTAATTGAAGGAGGGTCCTGGGGTTTTTATCGACCAGTGGTTGAAAAATTTTGATAAAATAGGGCCATTAGGAGGTTTAAAATTCAAGAGGTTAAAATCACAAGACTTTGTTCAGAAAAAGAAATTTTTTAAATTTGCAAATCCTTTAGCTCAACAGTTTCTGTATACCGCGGTCTAATATTTTTAGATTCGTCTTAGAATAACATGTTATTCCTCTCCGTTGGTTTTTGTTTACTTTTATAACATTTCCTTGAAGTTTTAAAATCTTGATCTGGGTCCCACCACGAAAACCTGAAAAAATGAAAACTCCCCATTTTCCCATTGCAAACGCTTGAATTAACCGTCATGATATCATTCAAACATTTCCGGATATTAATCTTGTTTTTGTTACACTTCTCTCGCTTATTATTGTAAGAATACCATTACACTTGTTGAAAAATATTGTTAATTTTACTGTAACCTCTAAAAAAATGGTTCCGAGTGCGTGTCAAGCGAAGCTTCAGACCAAAAACATTGTTTCTCGTGTTTTTTTCACGGTCCATTTGTCTTCAAAATCGCCTTAGGGCTTTAGGGAAACAAAACATAGCGAGAAGCCGTATGTTAATTTTCTTAAAATATTTTTTCGATTATTTTGTCGCATGGCTGGTACTGACAGGCCTCAGAACAATTAGTAATAGTTTAGAGACAGTGTTTTATACATTTTAGGCTTCTTTTTAATCAATTATATTATAGTAGACAAAAAAATTTAATTTTTTGATGTTAAATTTTTTTCATATTTTGCATACCATTTCAAAGAGATCGTATTTTACATTTCATTTGATTTTTTAAACTCTTTTTTCGCTAAAATTTTTCATTTTTTTGAATTTTTTCAAATTTTTATTTTTCGTATTTTAGGATGAAAATGCGTGTAGTTCCCTTCGACGAGTTCGAGCTAGACCTAGAAGAGCTCAATTTCCCGGATGAAGATGGCGGTGCCGAAAGTAATGTGCTTCTTTTCGCTATGGTCTCGATTTTGGGCGGGTCGATTTTGCTGGTTGTTATGAGTAAGTTCCATTTTTTTGAGTTTACAAATTTATATTTTCCTCAAAAATTTTTATCCCAAAAAACCGGATCTAAAAAAAATTTTACTATTTTTTGCCCTTGAGTCACCATTTTTTCAAAAATTTTTCATCTTTTTGTCATGAATAACACAAAAAAACTCGAGATTATCCGCAGTTCTGGCCTATTCCTGTAACCATTGCTCATTTATCCGAACTAAACCCTGTCAAGCTTTAGTCATCGTCCCCGAAATATCTCGTTTGGTCTTTGGCTTTGCACGGTGCACGGATTCCTCGGAAGGGGACTTGAGAAAGGCGGGAAATCCCTTTAAACGAATGATTTTTGAAGCATTTCCTGGGACACTGAAGGCCAAAGATTGTGTCTGGAGAATTAACAACAATTTTTTGAACTTTTAGGAGGGTGTTTAGGGGAGTAATGACCATTAATTACCTTATTCTAGACAAAAAATTAAAAAAACATCAAAAATTTAAAAAAAAGTTTTTTTTTCAATTTTTTCAAAATGACAATGCATTCAAATTTGTCTTAAATATCCTAAAATTAAATTCTCTATCAAACCTTTCCACCATCACCATCTCAAATCTGTATTTTTTCAGTTATCGCCATCTACTTTTGCTATCGGAGCACTTGCTCGAAGACCGGATGTTTTGCCGTCCCATCGACCGAAATGGAAACCGAATGTCAGATCATTGAGCGGCCATTGACTCCACGACCCGAAAGCTTCCGACGGAATTCCGCACAGGCCCATTACCGGATTCTGATTCAGAAGAAATTCGAAAAGGAATTTGGAAAGATGCAATCGTATCGAGGCGCCGGCAGAGAGCACCTGCTGGTCGATGGGGACATCGGCGATATTGTCTAAGAAATTCATGGCTTCTAATGTCATTTAGAACCAAAATCTTCAGAATTTTCTCACGTCTCAAGGTTCTAGGGCATAATTTATATTATACTTGAGAATTGATCTTCGCATCAAGAAATTTCCTATTTTCCGAACAAAGAACGACATAATATATGCTGTACTTGTTACAGCATGATTTTTGATGTGATTTCCTAAGCTTTCTTTACAATTGCACACTAATCTTTCTGTTGATTTCAAGATTATTTATCATTCTCATCGGGTATGTATAACATAATATTTTATTGATAATTTGTTAAAATTTCAGTCTACAAATGTATATTATGTGTTTAAAGTGCCTATATACTTGCTGTATTGTTGTTTTAGAATTGTTTTTTCACCATGACATTTATGAAATAAAATTATGCAAATTTTTCTAATTTTTGAAAATTATGCAAATTTCGGTTTTGAATTGTAAAATACGGGCCCACAGTATGCGCAAAGATATTTTTGCATGAGATAATTAATTTTGCATATTTATGCAAATTTTTGTGGGTATGCAAATTTTAAAAATTATGTAAAATTTTAAAAACTATGTCAGTTACATTCGAAAAAGATGAAAAAAATTACAGAGTAAACATTATCTATAAATTTATTCAAATTTTCGAAAATTATGCAAAATTTTCCGCCATAAATTACTCAACTTTCATAGTTTTTGCCGCCTTTTTTAACAGTCCAATTGTATCGGAAACCAGCCGCGGTTTGAACGAAGCGACCATTGAGGCCATCAGCCTCGGGATTGGAAGGTTTAAGTCAGCACTCAAAACATGCCGGAACTCTGTGCGATCGCCGTCCAAGGGCTTCAAGTAAGTTCCGGAGATAAATTGCTTGGTTCGGACGTAATTCTTTTGGGGTGGGCGGTCTGGGTAGTCGACTCCTTGAACGGCGTGAATTATAACACCATCTGGCCGGCGCTTGATCTAAAAGAATGGTATAAGCTCGATTATTTTCAGTGTAAAATACGACGGGACACTCTACGGGTAAAATTTAAGACTATAGTCAAATCTGTGTACAACAAATCGCCAAGGACAAAAGAAATATTCGAAAAAGAGAGCTTTTGCTATAGAGAAGTTCTTTTCTTGTCTAGGCTCGTCTAGAATTGGCTCTTTGACCTCTGAAATTTTTCGTTATATACAGGTTTTGTTGTCCAGGAGTTGGGAGCGTAGAGATTTTACTTTTTTCTAAATATCTCCTCACCTGACAAACTTCCACCGCATCTCTTGCCGAGAGAATCAACTTCTTCTTTACAAAACTATGAACAATATAAGTGTCATCGGACAAGGTCTCCACAACTTCCTGCCGCTCCAACAAATCATCCCATTTTTGTCGGTAAGGCCCATAAATCTGCACTAGTTTGAACACCTTTTCTATTGGCGCCTGTAATTTTAAAATGAAATACAATTGGCTGAAATTATGTCAGTTTAAACTCACATCAATATGAACTATTGTGAACAACATTTTTTCTTGCGCTTCTGGAAACTCTTTCGGTTGCCGTGAATAGATCTTTACACCATCGCTTTCAAAGTCAAGGTTTGGCCATTCCGTGGAGAGGTCGGCTTCGGCTAACTGCTCGGTTAGTTTTACAGCCTTCTCAGCTTGCTCAATATAAGCGGAGGACATCTGTAAACATTAACCAAAAAGGTGGTAAAATAATATGAAAATGATGGTAAATCGAGTTGCGGATGGTTGCAAATAACGCAGCAGATGTAACTTGCAATACGTGTAAATCCAAATGATATATGCGTGCGGCAAAGCGGGCTGTGCAAAGGGCTAATTGTGCAAGGAAAAGTGGTGTTAAAATACGTGTTTACAGATGAGTACAACATTTTTTAAACAAAAAATTATTTAGAAGCGAACTATCTGACATGGGACAAATAGAATTAGGGTAATTAAAATTTGAGCGTCACTTGGCGTAATGAGATATGTGCGAGATTCCTTGATCGCGTTTTCCAAACACCAAAAAGATTTTTTCACAGATATAATTTCCGGTTGAACTACTAGTGCGACGCACGTCAAACTAAGGAGTCCGGTGACCGGAATAGACTCTTCGCTATCGGTTTTTTACATTTCGTCTTTATTTTCAGAGAAAGAGAGAAAAAAGACGCGCAAAAGCGTACTCTCTCGCCCCAAAAATTCCCCATTTCTTCCCCGACAAAACGTTTTTTCGCGTCTTTTTTTTGGCAAATTGCCAATCCATTCACCGGACTATTTTAGCTTATTTCGGTTTGACGTGCGACGTCTTATTTTCCACAGAAGATGAAAATTTTCCCTATGGAAACGGGAAATTTATGGGCAAAAACCGTCTCGTGGACAAAGACCACTCTCCTCATTTCCCGTGCTCTCTTGAAGACTGGATCGTTGAATATCTTGGCGTGGTTAGAAAAGCGCAAACTTTCAGGGATTTATATGTGGTTAGTTCAGAATTCGGATGCAAAATTATAGGAAAATTCGAAGGCCCCAAAAATTAGTTTTCTTATTTTGCTTTGCCCTTCAAGCTCCAAAAAAACTTTGCAATCGCGTCAACAAAAGGGACGTTTTACCTGCCACCATAATATCGGGTAATAAACCACTTGTTTATGACCATAGAAAACAGACGCGCTTTTGATTTGCAGACTCGGATAAGCGCTTGAATTTGGGATGCATGGTTATGGGAACGCTAGTGAAGTGAAAGCGGTCTGTAATTGGCGGTGCACACACTTCATGCTCACGTCAAGAAAAATGTTTTCCTCCAATAAATTCAAATTTTCGAATAGCCACAAGAATTATTGGCAGATCCTTTCTTCCCGACAAAAATAGAGTATTTACATCCGATAATTCCTGTGTCATTTGGTCATGTTTGAGATATAGAATGATAGAAAACATTTTGTTCTAACTTTTGGTGACGTGAGCTCCCCTTGCAGCTACTTTGTTAATACACTATGTAGGCATGGCTCCGGGCCGGGCTTTGCAAAATTTTCCGGCCCGGGCCGGGCCGACTAATTTCTCGGCCCGACTCCGGGCTTCGATTTTTAGGCCCGGCTCGGGCCGGCCCGTTTTTTTTGAAACCTGAGTTTTGCTCGGAAAAAAGGAAAAAATAAGCTTTTTCGATAGAATTTTTCATTTTTTCGAACACACTGCTGATACCGAACGTAAAGTAACCTTATGCACCTAGGTTTTGCTAAATTTTTCTTTACATTTTGCGAAAATTTGCCGTAATTTTCCTTTCATCTTTCTTTCCAACCTAGTATAAAAATTTTCCGGGTCGAACCGGGCCGGGCTTTCCAAATTTTTCAAGCCCGGGCCCGAGCCGGGCTTGGAGATTTAAGCCCGGCCTGTGGCCCGGGCCGGGCTGGGCTGGCCCGGTTTGCAGCCATGCTTAACACTATGGGCATCTTAGAGATACAAGTGCAAACAGAGTCGCATAATACAGGGTGTTTCAAGAAATTTGGAAGAAACTAGTTGCGAATATTTTTGAGCTCTTGCTAGTTATCGCAGAAATTCTTTTTGTTTCTAAAACTTGACAGCGGGCGGTTTTGTACTGAACAAAAAAAATTTTTTTCGTCGGCGGAGAGGCCAGTTCTCGGCGGAGGCATTTGGGGCCTTTTTTAAAAATCACACCTTATTACATCGTGGAAACTCTGTTACAGTGGCCAAAATCATGTTTACGTTAAACCTCTGTGGATTTTGCGGTATGCTTTTTTTTGCGTTTTCGATTTTACGCAACATCCGCGGAGGCGCGGCGGAGACCCCAGTTTTCGGCGGACTTTGTTTTGGGCCCTCGGTTTTTGCAAATCCATGTTGGAAAAAAGGTTGGGGCGATTTTTTGTTGTCATCCGATGCACAGAGGGCAAAAATTTTGTACCTTTTTCCCCGGCGGAGGATTCGGCGGAGGCTTTCTCAAAGGGTCAAAACAAAATTTTGACTCTTTTGATAAAGCCTCCGCCGAATCCTCCGCCGATGTGTCCGCCGAACCAAAAAATAAGAAAAATGATGTTGCTGCGATGGATTCTTGTAGCTGAGTTTTTTTCCCGGACTCCTAAGACTGTTCTGACCCTTTGATAAAGCCTCCGCCGAATCCTCCGCCGGAGAAAAAAAGTGCGAAATTTTTGCATCTGTGCATCGGGTGACAACAAAAAATCACCCCACACTTTTTTCCAACCTGAATTGAATGATCCAAAGGCTCAAAACGACGTCCGCCGAAACCTGAGGTCTCCGCCGTGCCTCCGCGGATGAGCGAAAATCGAAAACAAAAAAAAGCATACCGCAAAATCCACGGAGGTTTAACGTAAACATGATTTTGGCCACTGTAACAGAGTTTCCACGATGTAATAGGGTGTGATTTTTAAAAAAGGCCCCAAATGCCTCCGCCGAGAACTGGCCTCTCCGCCGACGAAGAAAAATTTTTTTTTGTTCAGTACAAAACCGCCCGCTGTCAAGTTTTAGAAACAAAAAGAATTTCTGCGATAACTAGCAAGAGCTCAAAAATATTCGCAACTAGTTTCTTCCAAATTTCTTGAAACACCCTGTATACACACAAAACCTATCTTGTCCCGAAATGGAATCATCCCTAAAAATTTCATAATTTTCCATTATATTTGCCCAATACCCTGCCCTTACTTTGTAAATATAGTAGTTACTATCTTATATGTATACTTTGACAACTTTTGTAAAATAAAATATATTGATTAAAAAGTCAATTCTCAGCCCCAGTAAAAAAACAACCCTCCGTTTGGAAACAGTTACTGCGAACGTTAACGAACCTTTCTTCAATTTCCGATTCTCCAAACGCTCTTCGTATTGTTTTGTTTTTTGTTCGACATTACAGCCAACGGTTCTTTCACAATGAACAATCAAAAAAGAAACGATCATTCCCTTGGTTAACGATATTTTATATTCCAAATCAAAGTTTTTTATACAATGAACAACAATTGATAGTAATAACAATGCAAAAATGACTCATGGTCGGACAAGTTTTAAAAGTTTTTACATAGAATTTTTGTGATAAAAATTTATTTTTTTGTATAAAAGTTTAAAATCTGAATTGCGTCTGAGCTGTGTATAATACATAACTTAAATTTTTGATTGGACGGAAAGTGATTTTTTACAGTACATACATAATAAAAAAAATAAAAAAATGAAAGAAAAATACTATAATAGGAGTGACTAGGAATATGTAAAATACAAGTGATTTAGCGCGGCAACTTCTAACAGATATGATTATAAAAAAATTCGAAAAAATTTGGGATTTTTGGATTTTTTTAAATCAAAAATTTTTCTTTTTTTTGCGTTTTTAGGGCAAAAAAAATTTTTTTTATTTTTTTGCTTACAATTCAAAAATAAGTTCAAAAAATTAAAAAAAAAATCAAAAAATCCCAAAAAATTTAATCCAAATATAACACAAAAACTGTCGCAAAACCTTTTCCGAGGTATTAAAAGTTCATTTTTCCAAAATTCAATCCAAAAAAATGTCGTTCAACACCTTGTCATACTCATCTCCAGCGCCAAAAACTCTCATCAAATGGAAGTTCTGTTTGATGTGATTGACAAACTCGATCAGTGTTGGTGCAATGAGCAAAGCATTTCCCATTCGCATTGCCGCTTCTTCGTGCTTGAATCCCATCGAATCGTAATATTGGAACCACTCTTGATAGAGCTGGTTCCGAATTTTGCTTCCCAAACTTTTTATCGCCGGATTTACACCGATCAAAGCTGAAAGAGTGTATTGTAAAGAGTGTAAAAATTATTTTTAATTCGGTAAAGTTAAATTAGTATACATTACACTTGAAAATTTTTCAAAAATAAAATCGAATTCCGCACGGTGCAAGCAAAAAAAACAAGTTTTTTTAAAAAAATCCTGAAAATTGAATTTTGATATCGAAAAATAACATCGACATACGTTAAGAAAACGATATCAGGCCTTTTTTCATGGCAAAACTTTTTTTTCCACACTGCACTGTGCAATAACAATTTTCCGAAAATCCGCACTGTGCAGTGATTTTTAAACTTAAATTTTCGCACGGTGCGGGAAACAATTAAAAATAAGTTTTTTTTATAAATTCTAATACACTATAGGAACTTTCAATTTCCGAAGAGCCAAAAAAATTACTCAACCCTGCACTGTGCAATAACAAAATTCGCAAAATTTGCACTGTGCGGAGCAAAATTGTAATTTTTCAATTTTAATACCGCACCGTGCGAAAAAAATTGTTGACGCTATTTTTAAGGATTAAAAAATAACTTACTCGAGTCGAACATCATGCTGACAGCGCAGCAAATGAACTCGGTATCGTCCATTTGGAGCTCATGCATCGGCCGCACCAGCAATTCCATCGCTTTTATACAATCCGGCAAGTTTATTTTGTTCGTCGTCGCACTGTCCATCACTTTGTCGCCCTGTTTGAAGGCCTTCTTCTCTCCATTCGTTGCTTCGATCAGCTCATTCAAGTCGATGTAAATATAATCTTGGCAATAAATCCGATTCTGGACGGCGCCGCCTTTCTTGTAGGTCAAATAATACTTTTCCAGGTTGATAAAGTTGACCAGGAACGCCTTAAACATTGCGCAACGATCCTTCACGTCCAGCTCGTTGAGGAAATAGAAGGAGCCGAAGAATTCCATGGCGTTCGCGACCCATGTTCGTATCTGCGCGCACTCCAAACGATGATGGTCGGCGCTTCCGTGCTTCCGGAACTCCGGCTCAACGCCACTCATCATGTCGGCCAGCGACGTGGTCGTGTAGATGATTCGACGCCGATCCAACAACTTTTTGTAGGCCGTCAAGCCGGCATCGATGATTTTAAAGGAGACTTGCGAGGAACAGGAGGGACTGGAACATAACTCCGAAGACACGGAAGGCTTGTTTAGGTCGGCCTGAAAAGGGGATTATGAGGGATAGACAGCGTCCTGAGGCTTTTTTGGGTTTTTGAAGGTGAATTTTGAAAGCATAATTTTTTTAAAGAACCATAAAAAAGGAGTTAAGACAAAGTTGGTCATCTTGGAAGCCTTATAAAAGTTGTGATATAAAGCCCTACCATATGAAACATATATCAGTGGATAGCGTTTTTAGCGTTCTTTCAGACGCTCTAAACAGAAATTGCGAAAATGTTTCTCAACCCGTGAAAAACGCAAAACAAAAAAACGACAAAGTCATACTTCGAGACCTAATTTTTAGTCATCCAGTTCATGTTTGAAGGCCAATTTCTTGAATTAGAGTTAACATGGTTTAATGAGATTTTAAAAAGAGTGCCATAAAACGAATGGTTTTTTAAAAACTTTCGCAGAAAAATTTGCAAAAAAATGAGCAACTTCCGACAACTTTTTACAAAAAATGGTTGTTTCTGCAAAGCGCAAGCTTAGAACGCCGCATCATCAAAATTACAATTATTTTGGTCTTTTAAATATTGCTTTGGCTTACCTCATAAACGGAGCTTTTATCGCTGAACAATCGATGCGACAGAACACTCTCCGTGTCTGATCGGATGCTGAGGTCGTCCGAGTTTGGACTGCATCTGAAAAATTGCTATCTTATTTACATAATAAAACAAAGTGGACATCAAAATAATATACGATAGATAGAAATACGGTCAAAAGTTGCACACTTACTTATTCTCAATTTTAATTCCTTTTGGAACGACCTGTTTTGGACTAGAATCCGGTTCATGCAGAGCTCCGCGTTGTGGTTGAACCACTGAAAATAATAGTTACATGGGAGAAAATGATGAGTATAATTTGGAAATAAACACTTGGCGAAAGTGGTACGTATTTTACCAGAAAATACCGATAATTCGCCGTCAGTATTTTTAGGGCGGACGCAATCAAAAAAAATAAATTTTTTCTTGTGATTTTCGAATTTTCTGCCAAAAAACAAACTTCTTCAAGCAGAAACAAAAAATTATGGGCAAAGATTTTAATTTTTAGTTAATTTATTTTATTTTAAATTAATTTTTTAGGCCAGAATTAAATTCCAACGCCATTTTTTATGAACCAAATTCTTGAAGCGTTTACAAAAATGTAAAAATTTTCAGAAATTGCAAAGTAGCTGTAAATTAAAATTCGTACAAGTTTAACAAAAAAAATTTGAAAAAGCGTTCATATTTTACCTTCAAACCCTGATAAATATCCCAATTTTCACCTCAAATAAAAAAAATCCGAAAAAATAAATAATGTTTACCTCTAGCATCCATCCCAACAAAAACGCATTTCTTCAATCGACAGGCGCGACAAAGGCAGCGAACATTCTTATTTATGGCACAATCCCCATCCTTCCGGCATAAATATACCCGTTTTGAAGCGATACTTCGCCGGAAGAACGCGTTGCAAGCGGCACAACTGACCGCTTTGAAGTGAATCCCATTGGCTGGGGAGCTGCAGACCTGAAAAATTTGGGATTTTTTGAATATTTAGTTTAAAAATTATAAAAATATTTAGGGGTACGAAACGGAGTCGTATTTTAAAAATTATTTTTTTTGTGTAAAAGACTGTTCTTTTCTCAGTCCGTCTCTCCTCGTTTTACGTACTGTCTAGGCTGAAATTTTTTAAAATACCCGCAAAAACTCGAAATTTCGAAGAAAATGGGGACTTTATTACCTCCATTTCCACCAGTAAGCTTGTGTAAATTAACTTCAACGTCTCAGTTTTTATTTAAAAAAATGGAAAAAGTCAAATAAGCCCATAAAATCTCATCTTTTTCGCAACTATTCACATCAAAGCCCTATAAAATAAAACATCAAATATTGATTAAATCGTATTTTACCTACCCAACAGGAGTCGCTGCCAAATTCCGCCTCCATGTCTTGTTGCGACACCAAACACTTTAGCTTCACCTTCTCGCCGCCATATGCATAGTAAACCAGGCCGTCCGCGTCGACTCCAACAATGTGTGTGGAGGTCATCTGAAGTAATGTTTTTGTACATTAAAATCGAGTATTTTTTGGAGAGAACTTTATCGAGAAATGGAGGAAAAATTAGCCAAAGGGAGAAAGGAAATTCTAGTTTGGAAAAAATTGGGGAATCGAGGGACTTTTTTTTTAAACTAATAAGTTTGAGCACATTTTCATAGGCTTGAGGGGGAAAAAATTTAAAAAAATGAGCGGTTAAATGGGCAAATAGTCGAACTAAAGGCCTTCAAAATGTTGGTTTAGTTTGCAAAAATATTGATTTAGTTAGTTCGGAGACATGAGTGGATCATCAAGAAATATGTAGTAAATGACGAATACAGAAACGAAAAAAATCAGTAGGAAAAAATGTCGTTCATTTTTTGCTAAAATATATTTTTTTACTTGTCACATCTAAAAAAGCAATACGTATTCCAAGTAATTTGACCCCTTGGAGACCCTTGAAACCTCTTTTTCCAAAACAATCTCCAGAACCCCAGAAATTCTTGACTCCATTCCCTGAAACGCTGAATCCCTGGTCCCTAAAGACTATGAAGAATAAACCGTCAACGCCAACACGTGTGCATATAAACCGCGCTCCTCAAAATCTAAGTAAATATTGCCTTAGGGGATGTTTCTAAGATAATTAAGTTTTTCAATGAAATTAATGCTTCAAGGGTAATATAAATGAGAATTCAACTCTCAAAAAAGCTTATCAAATGGTCGACGGGACGATATCGATTGTACAAAATACTGGATACAAGAGTGAGTTGTGCGTGTGATGTCATCATTTTCACAATTTTATCAGCGGTTAAAAAGGAGCGTCTGAGGAGAGGTCAGACGTCGCTCACGGCGAAAATTTAAAAACCGAAAAGAAAGAGAGAGAGAGAGAGATTGGAAGTGTGGAGGGTGGAAATGGAAAAATTTAGAAATAAGGCGACAAAATAAGGTGATTTTTCTGATGAAACTCAGGTATTCCAACGATCTTTTCCGATGGCAATTTTTAGGAGATTTTTTGGAGAAGAAAAAAAAGTTATGGCCAAAAAACGCTTCTCATCTTTTCCACTCTCGTCATTTTGCATGCTCTCTATGAAAAAGGCCCAAAAATCTCAGTTGCCGTAGAAGATAGCGAGCTGAAGCTTTGGAGATAAATATGTGTGCAAGTAGATACACTATATGTAAAAAATCACCCATGAATGACAAGTTTTATTCCTGCAGAATTTGCTACAAAGTAGAGAAGAAAACAAACAATGACAATACAAGGAATGTGGTCAAAATAAGGTAATAAAAAACCAACACGCGCTTCCTTATTTATTTGTTTACTCACGGCCACGTGTGTCACAATTTCATCAAATTTTAGTTTCTTGGGTTCTAGGTCAAAGATCTATAAGTAAAAAGTTTCAAAGCTCAACACATAAAGAATGCTTTTTGTAGATCAAGCCCTCAAACTGTCAGATGCAGTGAAACAAATCTCTGTACAATGAAGAAAAAAATCTTTGCTAAAAAAGTTGTTTGTTATACAGAGGTTTACTTTGAACTAAAATTCCCGCTTGAGACCTCTGAAATTGTTCGCTATAGATTGGCTTTGCTGTATGGAAGTCTTTTTCGTAGAGGTTCTCACTGAATTTTGTGCGACATACTTCAAGCATCTAATCAAAAAAATTTAGAATTCCTCCTTTATTTATCTATCGCCAGCTGGGCAACAAGTCGTTGTGGACAATTTTGGGATCTCCGACGTATCCTGCAACAAGAGCAAACAGTCAAAACCAAAAAATCATTAACAATAGACTCTTAAAGTGCTAATTCTCTGCCGACCTTTTAAATTGCGCGAATATCGCAAAGAACAAGACGGAAAAATGATTTCGTGTTTCAAGTCCGCCAAGATGATCCATCCTGATTGTAACGACCTTCAACGAGGCTCGGCGACACACAAGGCTACGCCTGTTGTTTGTGTCAGATAAGGAAGAAACATCGTCATGTGATATTACGCCGTTTCAAAAGTGCGTCGATCTTTTGTCGCCGACGCACATTGCATGCGGGTTTTTGGAAAAGGCGTGGAAGTTATGAGCGCTTGTTTAGAATTAATTGTCAGTAAATTTAAGAGAAGTTTCACCAGAAACTGAACGTTGCAGCACTGGCAATTCATCTATAAATCGAAAGTTATTTTCCAAGTTCTAATAAAGCCGCTCTTCGCAAGGCTTCAGAATGCATGTTATACATGAAATACAGCCACAAAATTGGCATTTAACCAGTCATCAAAACCTGTGACATACCATATCTAAAAATTTCCCGAGGAACGGCCCTCATTGCCGCCCTGAGGCTGAAACCGGTGGAAATTTGTGTAATCACAACTATTTATATTAATTACGCTTGTCATACATGACATTTTTAATGGAACAAGTTTTAAAAACATGACCAAATCTTGTCCTAGCACTGTACTCTAGTCCGCGCCACGCCTTGGACTCCATTTTGTCACTAAGAATCCAAAAAACAATACCAGAAGGAGGGCTATGCAAAGAAATGAAAACAAATTTTTGAAAAAATGAGTGTAATTTAGTCATCATGCCGCTTGCAAGATTACAAGACATTGTAAAAATCCCGGCCCGACCCGTTTTAGAGTTGCTTGGGCCAGACTTAAGAGCCATACCTAACTGCGAGCCTCTCCAATTTTTTATGCAGTTTGCAAAAACTACAAAAACAAGAAAAAAAAAATAAAAAAATTATTTGACAATACGTAATAAAATATTATGGACTTATTTCCTTAAAAAAGCCTACATAAGAGATGGAGATAGTAATGAAAAAAGATGGGACATTATCTAGCAAAAAGAAGTTTGCTAACGATAAGCAGCTTTTACAGCGCGCCGCCCAGTTATAAAAGTATACATATACGTTGTGCATATGTATAAGATGTATAAGCGAAACCGGAAAGTTGATAATCTTTCATTGTGTATACAAAACAAAAGCGATATCGGCGTGATATAAGTGCTTCTTTGTATTTTTCGATGTGTTTAGTACAACCAAGCCCACGTAGGCGATGTGGAGTACAATGATATGCGGCTCCTGACAGTCTCATACAAATTTTAAGCGTGCTTTTTTTATAAAACGGCACAATTGTTATTATATATACATACATATACAAAAAATATGCCACTATGGAACGTTTTGTTCTCCCCGATAGCTTACTCGGCCCCAAAATTAAGCGCAAGCGGAATTTCACAGTCGTATAAAGGAAGGCAGAGCCACTCTTATCTTCTAACAAATTTGCATGCCGGTTTTTACGTTAATCAGTGAAAATTTTGGTTCCCATTTTTCTGCGGCAGCCGAGATATTCGACAATCTTATGTCGAGAGAGAACAATGAGTGAGGAGACCCGGTCAGACGAAAAACGGGTTCCTTGTCCCACGTCTAACGCTCCAATCAGGGGTCAAAAAATTGCAAAGCTTTAAAGTTATCAGCTTGGCAAAAAGTTATACCGTTTTACCGCAAGGGCGTGGGCTAGGAATTCCGCATCTCTTAAAAAAAACCGTGACGCAAGTTTGGTCTTTCTTCAATAAGCTACGATTACTTGTCCTGTAAGACCACACTTCCACGCTTTGAACACAAAACACAAAGAAAAGAAGCATTTTTTGCATTGTATGGTATTTTCCAAGGTTCTAAAGCTCAAAAAGTTTCTTAGAAAATCTCCGGTTCAACTCTTATTCCCAGTACCTTTAAAAACGATCTCTTTTGACGCAAATGGGAGGGGATTTTTATTCTATTGTTCGAAATTTGAGGTCCAGTTAACTATACATATTCTTTATCCTCTTCAAATATTTTTTAACACAAGGTTTTAGAAGTAAAACAACATTCTTTGGATGAATTTCCCCATTTTCGAGAGTTCACTAAAGTTCAAAAATTTTTGCGTGAACCCTGCGGTTCGCTTTCGTTTTTTCCAAATCCGTGGCTTTAAATACCTCAAAGCTTCGTCTGGCAAGGGAAAATTTAATTGGGATAGTATGCAGACATTAACAAAAAAAATTGAATAAATGAAAAGAAATTAACGTGCACGAGCAAGAAATTAGGAATTGTAAGGAGTAAAGAGTAGTGTAGTTGAACCTCCGGGTACGATTTGCAGGGAACAAAAAAATTCATTTCGTTATGAGAAAGGTTTGTTGTAGAGAGGTTCAATTTTGCCATAAAACTGAGTTTTGGTCTCTCTGAGATTGTTTGTTATAAAGAGGTCCCGGGATCGATCCCCGGCTCAGCCCCCATGAAATGAATGATCAAACGTAGATAGGTAGATGGAATAGACACAAGTTAGAAGGAAGGTTTATTTAGACCACCGCACACGAAGAAAGAGAAATGGGATTCATCCTCTAATTGGTGACGAGACATAGCTTTTATATGATTTGGTTTATGCTAATTTCTGTGGGAATTGTGGAGGCTTTTGAGGCTCCACAACACCCTTGGGTCGGAGTTTGTTGTAAACAGGTTCAACTTTATTCTTATACAGTAAAAACGGGATCAAAAGTAATGAAATTATTTTTGTTTTAAAAATAATAAATGTGTCCGAAACGTGACTGTAAGACTTTCTCTACGTTTTGCGCATGCCTTCCCTATACATCAATCACCAAAAATTTCAGCCTCCACTTTCCATGGAGAACCGAGATATTCAATAATCTTTAACGACAAGAGAGTACGGAGAATGCGGAGAGCGGCCATAGAGAGAAATAGGTCTTTCCGTATCATTGTCAATTCCGCGAAAAAAATTGTTCAGTAGAAATGTTGCCCTGACAACTGGAAGTCATAATGAGGCTTTTCATGCCAAAAAATATGTAGGAAACAAACGTCGAATTTCGTTAATTTCCGACGTAAAAGGTCTGGGATATCGGTGTAAAACGGAAGCTTTGGATTTTAAGTCTTCAAAAAATTTTGACTGAAATTTGTGCCAGCCATCATCAAGGCTTTGCTCTTTGACCATGTAACCTTTATCCTTCAGAATGTCAGCAACTACGTGCAATAACCGATAACCTCCAAAA